TTTAGATTCACATAATGTCAGTCACAGTGAACCTTTCAAAGTATTTAGTTGAGGCCACAAAATTTTCTGTTTCTTTGACCGTTTGAACAAAGGGTTCTTCTGTTTTGATATTCATGATACCTAAGTGATATTATTTAAAGTATGAAAATAGGTTTTGTGATGAGTTTATCGAAACTTAATGACCTCCCAGTACTTCCAGTCGAAGAGCATTCGACTAGCAATGATGTGATTCATATTAACTAATACTATTACTACATTCATGAGATATGTGAGAGATGCAAAAGACTCGAAAGAAGTAAAGCCAAGGAGCCCCTACATCGCTGCTCGCAGCTATATTTTAATCTGGCATAGTTGCACGTAATAGTTATATTAGATAAATAACATAAGAATATTTGATCATATTTCTCTCCACATTAATTTACGGAAGTGTTGAAGGGACATGAAAAGGAGAATTTTATTTTTATACATCGTGCACACGAGATACTAAATTGTGCTCACGATGTAATGTACTGTGCGCACGATTGGAACAACAATACATCCAGCGATAGTAGATATAAATTTCATTCTACAGCACAGACAGCTCCTCCTCCCATATTCTACAGCACAGACAGCTCCTCATTCACATATTCTACAGCACAGACAGCTCCTCCTCACATATTCTACAGCACAGACAGCTCCTCCTCACATATTCTATAGCACAGACAGCCCCTCATTCTACAGCACAGACGACCCCTCATTCTACAGCACAGACGATCCCTCATTCTACAGCACAGACGATCCCTCATTCTACAGCACAGACGATCCACCATTCTACACATATAGAACAGTTAAGAAGGGTGACATCTCTCATTTCTTCCTAAAATAGTCTTACCATACAGTAATGAGCTAGTAATCCCACACCAGCTTCATATAGAACAGTTAAGAATGGTGACATCCCTCATCCCACATTTCTTCCTAAAATAGTCATGAATGGATGTTTCCTGCTATATTTGAATTACGATTTGCTTAGTGTCACAACAATTGGAACAGTTAAGAAAGGGTGGCGTGACTGAATGATACTCAATGCATGGATATACTCTATATATAGAACAGCTATGAAAGGACAGCGTGACTGGATGATTCTCAGGGGTAAATGTTTGAACAGTGTCATGATTAGTCATCCCTTTACATTCTTTAAAAACCTGATGACTCAGCACGTTTTCAAAATCTACCAATGAGCAATGATGATTATTATCTTTTAGCCAATGACATGGTTTGAATTCACCGATAGGTGTGCGCACGCACCCATCTACTTCCACTGCTTACAGAAATGTTATTTGTACTGACTACAAGCAACAGATAAGGTGTGCTTTTGCTGAACAGATATCATGGGAACAAGAGTTACAGATCGGTTCGTATTCTTTTATACAAAATCTTCGCCATTTAGTCAACATTATCCTGTTAGGATTGAACTTGATGGTAAAACCGTCAACTGTGTTGAGCAGTATTACATGTACATGAAGGCAATGACGTTTAGTGATGTGGATACAGCTCAAAACATTTTAAAAGCCTCTTCTCCTGTTCAACAGAAGAGATTGGGTAGATGTGTCAAAAACTTTATTTAACATAAATGGGATGTGGTGAGCTACAGTGTTGTGAAGAAAGTCACCCTGGCTAAGTTTACTCAGTCTTCCGCTCTTCAACATATGTTAATAAATACCTCTCCAAAAATATTGGCTGAAGCCAGTCCATATGATAGACGGTGGGGTGTTGGACACTCCCTTCACAACCCAAAGCTATTAAATCCATCTAACTGGAAGGGACAAAACTGGTTAGGAAAAGCTTTGATGGAGGTCAGGCAAGAGCTTATGAACAAGACTGTTGTGATTGAAAAGTGTTAATTTTCTGTTTACAGTAAACTGAATGATAAAGCATCTTTCTACTCATGGAAGCAGGTTCTGCATCCATCACACAGCTTGGACGAAACAGTAGTCATGCAGTCTAATGAATGGTTTCAAGATCGCAGTGAATGTGTCAAGGATGCTAAGAGGAAGTTTCAAGATGATTCTAGAACAACTAAAAGAATCATCATCAAAAAGACGAGAAAGTTCTTGTGCGTCGACGAAGTAGACAGTGTAAATCACATAAAACACGCTGAAAATCTTCTCACTTTGTGTTACACTTTGGAACTGTCTAAAATTCTTAGACGGCTGTCCTGTGATTTGTGTTTTGATGTATGTTCGATTCCGGGGTGAACTGATCCACACATGTAAGGATATGTTAGAACAGGATCAATTTGATCGTCTTTTCATGACTGCCATGTCTGAACTCCATGATGAACACGTGATTGACAAATGGGTGGACGTGTTTAGTGGTGATCCATCTCTGAATCATGTGAACATAGTTTCATACCGCTGTAAAGACTATCGGGACACCCATTTTAAAACATCAGACTGGTTTAATGAACTGAAGCAACGTGTTGTTAAGATGTTATTGTTAGAAAATCGCTTTCAATAATTGTGAATGTAACCCTATCATTGTATATCTGTGTAGTCTAGACTTCTATTAATTAAAGTATATGTTGTATAATTATTTATACCTTCATGTTATATATTGCTTGATACACCCGGTTTCAATAATTGAGAATGTAACCCTATCATTGTATATCTGTGTAGTCTAGAATTCTATTAATTAAAGTATATGTTGTATAATTATTTATACCTTCATGTTATATATTGCTTGATACAGCCAGTTTCAATAATTGAGAATGTATCCCTATCATTGTATATCTGTGTAACCTTGAATCTCTATTAATTAAAGTATATGTTGTATAATTATTTATACCTTCATGTTATATATTGCTTGATGCAGCTGGTTCCATTCAGTACATTGTGAGTTCACAAAAGATGAACAGGGTATTGACAGAGAAGCACGAAAAAGCATTAGAAAAGTATTATTATGATCCTCACAATCCAGGAGCCTATTATGGACCCTCCAAACTTCGACAGGTATTGAAGACGAAACCTCAACCTGATGTTAAGCTCAGAAAGGTGAAATGGTTTATCACCAACCAAGATGCTTACAGTTTACACAAGCCAATCAAGCATAGATTTAAAAGGATGAAAGTCAGAGTGAATTCCATTGACGAAATGTGGGATGTGGACCTTGCCGATCTTTCCCGTTACAGCACAGAAAATCAGGGTATACGTTATTTGCTTGTTGTGATTGACCTACTGAGTAGATTTACCTTTGTCCTTCCTTTGGAAAATAAGAAGCCAGAGTCCGTGTTGAAAGCCTTTAGAAAAATACTTCAAGAAAGGAAACCAAGAAAGGTACGCGTAGATGGTGGTAGTGAGTTTAAGGGAGTGTTCAAATCTTTTTTGGGAAAACAAAATATTATCACTACTATCGCACGCAACGAAAACATTAAAAGTAATTATGTAGAACGTTTCAACAGAACACTGAAATCGTTGATCACGCGTTACATGACGCGCAAAAACACCCAAACATTATCTCAGTGTTCTACCTGATTTAGTGTACAACTACAACCATACTATACATTCGTCTTTACCCTTTTATCTCCTGCTCAAGTCAATAAAAGCAATGAATTGGAAGTATGGCAACACTTGTATGTCAAACCTTTGTTAAAACCAAAGAAAGCAAAAGTTCAGTGATAAAGAAATACAGATATAAAGTAGATGACCTTGTCCGTATCCCATATCTGAGGAAACCTTTCAGCAAAGAACTTGATCTGAAGTGGACAGAAGAACTCTTTAAAGTAACAGAACGTTTCAAAAACAAGATATACCTCTGTACAGAATCAAAGATTTCCACGACGAACTTATTAAAGGGAGTTTTACACTGCTGAACTGCAGAGGGTTAATAAAGAAGAAGATATTGAGTGGCAAGTGGAAAAGATCTTAAAAAGAAACACATGAGAGGAAAGACATACGTTTTGGTTCCGCTGGTTAGGTTGGCCTAGTTCTTTTGATTCATATGTTGAAGAAAACCAACTGAAAAATCTATGATGGAGAAATATGTTTTTCTCAAGAGCTCTGACACACAAAATTCTTATTTCAAGGATAACACCCCCTATCATTTTCGCATAAAGCTTAATCAAAGATTGGTGTTTGATGGATTTTGGGTTGTGTCTTTAACTGAGTTAAACTTTGGAAAGCTAGACCTCACTCATATGAACAATCCTTTTGTAGATGTACTGTGTAACCTGTGTGATAGTTCACAGGTGGGGAATACCCAGTTACCTTTGTTAAGACGCATTGACCTGAGGAATGGTCCCAACTTTTCCTTTGCCAATGAATACAATATCCACGTAATGGTCAAAGAGTCACCCGACATTGAAATCTGTATAAAAGCAAGCAATGGAATACCATTGTCATTCTTGAAAGAGGAGACTCATGCAACACTTCACTTGAGACATTATCCCTTTACTGATTGAACATGGATCCCCTCCCTCTGTATATCCCTGATTATAGCAAATGGCAGAATTACTTCAAAAAATACATGACAGGTACTTCTCGTGTTGTTAACGGAAAAAATGCCCCTAAAGTTATTCCATCTCCCCGACCTGTTGCTCAACTGGGAGAACCCAAAATCGAACTGCAGATGACTTCAGAACCACAAAGTGTGGTGGAGAGAGCGAATGCCAAAGTGAAGCGTCATAGATCTTTAAAAAGAGCTGCAGGTGAACAGGTTGTCACAACCAGGAAGATACGTCAGACAGGCAACATTCCCTCCAAGACAGCTAAAGTACTCAAGCGTACCCCTGTGAAAGAAAACGACATCTTCAGTTGAACAACATGTCTTTATTGAATAGCAAAGATTTTGAAGAATTGATTCCGAGGTCATTAAACCTATTTACTCTGCCACCATATCAGACCAGCATCCAACAACACTATTTTGTAGATGTACGCCTGCTCAGTCAAATTAATGACTCCTCCCCACTGGAATTTCACATATCTAATTCGGGCAGCGATTACATCGATTTGAAGCGAACAAGATTGCATTTGAAACTCAAAGTCACTCATTCAGATGGTACAGTATTGGATAATGATGAACACGTGGCACCTGTCAATCTGTTTATGCAGGCGTTGTTTTCTCAAGTTTCAGTGTATATGCAGAACCAATTGGTGTCTTCGACTAACAATCATTATGCTTACAAGAGCATGATGAAGACATTGCTTAACTATGGAGCCGATGCCAAAAAGTCCCAAATGACATCACAGCTGTTTTACAAAGATGAGGGTGGAAACAATAGTGCCATTGAATCAACCAATTCTGTCACTGGAACCGATTATGGTTTGACTGCACGTGGTAACTTTATCAAGAAAAGCAAAGAACTGACCATGTCTGGTCCTTTGTATGAAGATGTGTTTGGTATGAATAGACATTTGATCAATGGAGTAGATTTGACTTTGAAATTGTACAGATCATTACCTGCTTTCTGTTTGATGAGTGGTAAAGCTAAACAAGAGTATACCATTGAGCTACTCGATGCACATCTCCAAATATGCAAACTCAAAGTCAACCCGGCACTGATCCTAGCTCACAACACCCTATTCCAAAATAACTCCAATGCACTCTATCCTTTCACTAAGTCTGAGGTCAAGGTCAACAGCATCCCCGTTTCTCAACTGACGCACACCATTGATAATGTGTCCAACCCCATTGCTAATCGCTACATCATTGGCTTTGTTGAAAGCAAGAGTTTGAATGGGGCATATGATGGGAATCCTTTCAACTTTCAATCGAGTATGCTCAAAACTGTCAGCCTCTATGTGAATGGTGTCAGTGTACCTGGTCGCCCAACCCGTGCTGATGATGTGAACAGCTATGTGAACATGTTTGATGGTGCGGGACTTTGGAGAGAAAATCAAGGAAACTGTATTTCTAGAGAAGAGTTTTTTGTTAGGAAATGCACTGTTTGTCTTCGAGCTGGAAGAGGTGTGTGGAGAATCTGAATACCTCAATCTGGTGAAATCTGGAAATGTGGGGTTGGAAATTGAGTTCAAAACTGCACTAACCCAAACCTTGAGTTGCATCATTCTCAGTGAAAGAAACTCCATCATAGAAATCGATCTGGCTCGAAACGTCTTTATCAAGTAAACACAGAGATGAAAGCTTCGCAGTTGATGTGTGCCCTTCAGTGTGATTCAACCCTACAGAGACATGTCTTGGGGGTGTATGCCAGAGATACACTTCCTATTATCACACCTTTCATGCAAAGACAAGGTGTAGGACTTATTGTGAATACTGAGATCAGACAAAACAGCGGCCGTCACTGGATTGCAATGTACTTTAAACACAATAAAGCCGAAATCTTCGATAGTTTAGGAGATGCTGTTGATGTTACATTTGACCACTATTTAAAGGTTTATGCTGGTTCTTACTTACGTAACAATCACCAGTTACAATCTGTAGATTCAAATGTCTGTGGGTTCTATTGTTTGTACTATGTCTTATGTAAAATTAAAGCACATCAGAGTCTAAACCATATACTTCATCAGTTTGATATACATAACTTCATGTGGAATGACACTTTTGTATCTGAATATATTTGTAATTATTTCAAATACTGTACTCCTTCTTGTCTAGATTGTAATTGATACTATTTATGTATGCACCAGAAGAAAAAGAAAAAAATCAATAAAATTAGTGTAGATGAGATTATGTTTGTGTTGTGTATAAATACCTTTGCATCATGACATTTAGTGTAGTTCCGTGATAAAGGGCAATCTGGATAAATCATGGAGGAATGTGCGTTACCATTTCAAACTCCCACCACAATATCGGTTGTGGGTGGTTCTTCAAGTGGAAAAACATTTTGGGTTGCACGACTCTTAAAACAAGCTGGTAGCATGTTCGATCCACCACCCAACCTGATTGTGTATTGCTATCCTGTGTGGCAGGATGTCTACAGCGAACTTGAGAGGGTGATTCCCAACATTCGATTTAAAGATACACTACCTAGGGGAAGAGGAGTTAAAATCATATTCCTTAGAATCTGATAAACGGTGTGTACTGGTAGTAGATGACTTCATGCAGGACATTTGTAAGAACCCTCTGTTTTTACATCTTTATACCACACTATCTCATCATCTGGGGATCACAGTCATTAACATACAACAGTCAGCCTTTCCTAAAGGCGAATGTAACAGAACCATGTCTTTAAACACCCATTACTTTGTTCTATTATCTAACCCACGTTCAGCGCATCAATATAAAATTTTGGCATTGCAAATATTTCCAGGATAGGGCAAATATTTTACGGAATCCTTCCAAGATGCAGTGGGGAGAAATAAATATGGGTATCTTGTTTTGGATGCTTCACCCTATGCTGATGAAGCCTATGAACGTTTACGCACAAAAATATTTCCTGATGAAGTATGTACAGTCTACTTACCGCAGTCATAGAATTATGCCAAAGATGATATATATCCGTCTCTCTATGGGTGTTTTCATCATTTCACTTTCATCACTTGAACTGAACAGAACCATGGATGAGTGTGGGCGCTTCAGTGATGTGTTCCCAGATTGTGTTGAAATAGAGACACACACTGAGAGCTATGGACAAAAGTTTAGTGACAGACTGAAGTCATTCAGCAAATGGCCTGTTCAAATGGAGCAGTCACCAAAAGCCATCGCTAAGGCAGGATTTATTTACACAGGACAGTATGATAAAGTCTACAGCTTCAAATGCAAGCTTCGCCTACATCAATGGTTACATGATGATGATCCCAAGACCGAACACTTCAGACTGTCTCCTCACTGTAGCTATATGCTCATGGTGTCTGAACCCAAGAAAGGATAGAAAGTAATAAAATCCTGTTGACTATCCTATACTTGTACATTCGAAAGTGGCACATGGAACATTAAACATCGCATCATGAGTGAACTACTAGAAAAACATTTGAATTTTCTTTTGATGTTGGAGCAAGCCGGTGTTGGACAAAGAAAGGCTTTGTTAATACATGCGTCACATGGACAGCTTATGTCGGTGATTACTCTTATATTTAACATTCTGAGAGGAATCATACCTCTACCAGACAGTGATAAAATACGACTGACACGCTACAAGAAGTGCATTCGATCTTTAGCCAGCAAGACAGTTAGCAACCACGAGAAACGTGAGCTGATTCTGATGCAACATTCGGTTCTTCCCATTTGCATAAGATCCTATCAAGCATACCTCTCATCGATTCATTATGAGCAAGCCTATGGTTCTTCTAACAAGAGAGACCTACCAGAGGTTGATGAACAATCAAGAAGAACAGATTCCTCCTCAGACAGTGAATCAGACACCGATTCAGGGTCATCTGACAACGAAACAAGATCTGAAGATTATGAATCATAATAATGGATCTAGTAACAGCGGTGATGAAGAAGCACATGCATCTGTTTTGAAGGATAACATAGACATCATGCTTCGTGTACCTGAACAGATCATTAGAGGTATTTCGTCTACAAAAACCATCGGCAAGTTAATGACTTTGTGGATATTTGTGAAAGAAAACATTCTAAACAGACAAATAGTACTGACAGAAGATTTACAACTTGTGTTACCTAATGATGAGGTGTTGCATGGTTCGAACATAGTAGACTTGATCCGCTTTGTCATCATGAAAGCAGGTGTTAAAAGACACCGTCCAGTAAGATATAGGGTCTTTTATAAACTTTTAAGACATTCGCATGTTCCTAATCATCTCATGAAAAGCAGACAAAAGAAAGACAAAAAGAAGAAAACTGTAAATACTTTATATTTAAAACGCAAAGCATCAGACGGTGCGCCTGGTACAGCAAAAGTAAGGGCCATCGAGCCTTTTTAATGTACATCCATCATTCTATACATATTATGTACAAGGAAATAAAAATGGATTACTGAATGACTAGTTTGTCTTGTTTATGGTAAACTCATGTTGAGTTTGGTTAGCATCTCTAGTCTCTCTTTTTCTATGTTGGAAAGCAAACCAGAATTCAAATAATCAATGTTTTCATAACAGACGGTATGTCTGAGTTGTGTACGTTGTTGTCATGCTCTTTCTAAAATGTTCTGATGAGGTATTCCGCTCAGAGCGTCCTCAAAATAGAGGTCAACTTGTGGAGATTTCTCAAGATAATACGCTCACACCGAATGACTAAATACAAATAACATCCGCATTGTTGTTGTTATCCTTTCACCATGCTTCAAGAACACTAGAATTACGGTTTGCTTAGGCGGAGTCGCAGTGTTTGTGTATTGTACGGTGTGGTAGTTAACGTGTCTTGTAAGTGTGTCGTAGTGAGAGTTCGAATCCGATCGGAACCGTTAAGAAGATATCCCATTTAGATTATAAGACTCTTTGACTAAGTTCTGCACAACCGGAGGAGGGGTACCACGGAGGATATCGCGTAAAATGTCGTGTTCCTTGGCTGAGAGCAACAGCGCAGTAGTCACAGATTATTCAACCCACTCAGGATGACCCACTGCAGCCTACAAACACACGATCTTTCCGCGACGGTGAGACCGTATACAGCACAGTGAACACATAGGCTTGCTGGCGACAGTGACCTAGTTCTATGTTTAGCTGTATAACATCACAGTGACGCTGGTTGGGGGTAAAAACTAGGTTATACAATTAATGTTAATGTATTACTACAAGAGTATGCTTGTAAAATATATCAGTCAGTTAGACACAATTGCAAGCGACTAACTGCAAGTGAATTTAGTAGTGAAAACGAACATAAAATATTGTTAAACCATGTCAATCCCATAACCGAATAGCGGCTCGTACCCCTCTAGAAGGATTTTATATTGATGCATAACTTTACTTAAAACATGATGAAAACTTTATAAATGACGAATATTTTCACATAACATACATCGAGAGGGATACGGCGTATGTTAGAAAGAGACGTGCGATAACAAATGTTTAACACGGTGATTGTAAAATACTATACTGCAGAAAACAGTAACGGATAAGGTTATAAGTGGTGTTACCTTTCAGCAGAGCTCAAAACAAAACAAAAAATTTTAAAAAAA